GAGAGAGAGAGGGAGAGAAGAGAGAGAGAAGAGAGAGAGAAAAGAGAGAGAGGGAGAGGGTAGAGCGAGAGTGAGCAAGAGCGAGCGAGACAGAGGAGGGGTCCGCGAAGTGCAGAATTTAGTGCCATTGCCCAAGTAGGTGGGGCGGTGCCGGGGGGAGGCCACGTCGCACCGCCCACGCAATTATGATAAACGTCGGCCGCACAAGTTGTGCAGGAGCGAGCGAGCGACTGAGCGAGAGAGAGAGAGAGAGAGAGAGAGAGAGAGAGAGAGAGAGAGCGGCGAGGGTGAGAACGCAACAATTACAAACGCGGGGACAGTGGTGGGATTGGCGCGTAGTAAGTAGTGACGGGCTCGCAAAAGTGTGACGGGGCACGCGAAAAAGGACAAGTAGAAGGACAAAGAGAGAGAGAGAGAGAGAGAGAGAGAGAGAGAGAGAGAGAGAGAGAGAGAGAGAGAAAACCGATAAAGGGGATGCGGAAGCCATGGTGGTGGGCTGTGACAATCAGCACCTGCGCGGAACAGGCGTCGCGTCGCTACAATCAAAGGCAACTATCGTGACGGCCGTTACGAGCGTAGCGTCACGACGGGGCCGTCACTCCGTCGTCGTGTCACTACCGTCACTTTGGTGGGCCCCGGCGGCAGCGCGAGCGATTGTTATCACCACATGGCACCGGTCAAAGCCAAGTCGGGACTCAGTCAGTCCATTAGGGAAGGCCTCCCCGCCCCGCCCCGCCCCGCCGCCAGCGCCGTGCCCCAGACCACAGAATGGCACCCCATAGGCCCCTCCGCCCCTCCAGGCCACAGAGCCCCTCGCAGCGCCCCTAGGGAGCCCCACACCCTCCCCCTCCTCCTCCCATTGAAGACCGCAGGCCGGTAAGGACAGCGCCATCACTTCCGGCAGAGGCGAGGCCGCCCCGAGGCAGGACCCCTCGTGCCCGTGGAGAGGAGGTGAACAGAGTAGTTGTGCACAAGTGTGAGGTGCGTTCGGTGCGGTGGCTGGGTCTGGGCCCGCCCGTGAACGGGTTCGCTCGTAAGAGTGGGTTCGTCTTGTAGAGAGAGCGGGTTCGTCCAGCTCGTAAAGAGGGTTCGCTCAGATTAATTTTTAATGATTTTTCTCTGATTGTTATAATAAAGGGGGGTGTGCATTGTTTTATTGGAGGGGACTGAAGTACCCCTTGGATTTTAACTCTGAGAGAGGGTTTGCTAGCAGAAAACATTTGGATCGTACATAGGGACGTAGGGTTTAGCTTGATGCTTAGATGGTTCGGCTTGGCTCGTGGCTTTGTAAAGTGGTAGGTTTGCTCGAAGTGTTTATTTCCTTAGTTTTCGAACAGTCCGCAAAGTTGCCGGCCGCACAGTGTAGGCGGGGCCACGGAGCAGAGCAGAGCAAGCGGTCAGCAGAGGGCCGCCGACCGCCCGGCCCGGCCCGCCCCAGGAGGGGACGCCCACCACCGCCACCGCAATCCCGTGCGCAAACAATCAAAAAGCGTTGTTGTAGGGCCGCGATTTGGAGGGCGTTGCTGTTGTCGTTCAGCGCCGCCCAAGCCATATTGCCACAGCGAATTATCGACCCGACGAATAACGGTTAGGGGAGGGACTCGGGAATACACACGACGGGCCGCAGCAGATGTGCATCAACTTTGGCTTCAATAACCCGACTTAGTGCGGTGGTGGTAAAGTCCCCCCGGGGGCGGCCAGGGAGAGAGGGCGGCCTCATTTGCGTAAAAGGGAAGCGAGAAGAGCGGGGGGGGG